GCTCGGGGTCGTCCGCCGCTGGGGCTTCAACACACCCAGGCGGACATCTGCCGGGGCGGGCGGGCGTCTCCGGCGCCCCGCCGACACCGCGGCCGCGACGCCAGCCGCTCTCTTGTAGCAACACGTGGCACAGTCACCGCTCCAAGCAACACAGTTCTCCAGAGCGCGTATTGCTGGTCCCCTGGGAAGTCCCACGCAACAGCGCCGACTCGCCCGGCTCGGCGCCCGTGCCGTGCCGGCTTCCGACCGACCGGCCCGGGTCAGCGTCTACTTGGGGTCGATGAGCCTGCTCTTCGCTGGACGAGTCGCCGTCGCCGTCGTCGGAGGGCAGGTCGATGCTCGTGTGGCCGGCCATCAGCGGGCCGGGCAGCGCGCGCACCACCGTCACGTCGGGCCGCGGTGCGCCCGCCGGCTTGCCGTTGGGCGGATCGGCGTCCGTGAAGTCGGCCGTCGAGTAGCCGACGGGCAGCGCCCGGTAGCCGGCGTGGCGGCCGGCGCGCCGCTGCCGCCACAGCGCCAGGCCGAGCACCACCAGCGCGGCGGCCAGCAGCAGCACGGCGGCCAGCACGCCGCCGTACCAGCGGTCGGCGCGCGCGCGCGCCAACAGCTCGGTATTGAGGCAGGCGGTGCCGAGCTGACCGGCCGTGAGCGAGGCGTCGCCGTGGCAGGCCGAGCACTGGTAGTCGTTGGGCCCGCTGCAGACGGCGCACGTGTAGTGGCACGGCAGGCAGGCGAGGCCCTCCTGATCGGCGTACGTCTTGGCCGGACAGGACGCGAGCACGCGCCATCCGACAGCAGCTTTCGCCGCTCGCACTCTGGAACGTGGCGCCCGGTCAGGCGGGCACCGCCGACACGGCGCCCGACGCGCACGCAGCCACACACAGCGCGCTGTCCGGTTCGGTGGACCACGCGTCAGCATTCTGAACGGTTGACGATATGCCGTGCGCCGTGATCTAATCTGTGCCGCCGCAGCCGGCAGCGCTTCCGCCCACTGTCCTCCCAGACAAGAAAAAACCCTCGCGGTATTTCAGGCACACGACACGAAAACGGCGCAAAAATCACACGAAGACCAGCAGAGCTAAATCCCCCCAAGCGCACGCCCCCGCCCTGCAACAAAGAAGCGCGCAACTAGCGCAGCCGTCCTCGGGAAGTCCAGAGGAGAGAAGAAGTGGAGCTTTGCACTGTAGAAGGAGCACGTCGAGGATGTGAGAAGTGTCTCTGGATCCCGACTACGGGAGCACCATGCGTTTGGGAATGATCAGAGGTCCAAACTCCTACCCAGCACCAGTCCTGAGCGCACCAGTCGCATGCAATTTCCGTAATAATAGAAGCATGAGCGGCGAGGCCTCGCGGTGATGAGGCGACAAGCTACGCCGAGCACACTGCCAACAACCCACCCGCCCGGTCGCGTGTATTGCACGTCCCAACCGCCGCGGCTTGTAACGTAACACGGCGGGCCGTGACGCGGCTTTGGCGTGACCCGAGCCGACGACTGCCGTCCGCTCTCGCCCCGCGCGCGGCGCTCAGTCCCCAGCTGACGCGCCGCGGCGGCAGCGGACGGTTTGAGCGGCGAGGTGGCGGCGCCACACCGGACCGGGGCGGCGGGTGGAAGCAACGTCGGCGCTGGCTGGCCAGCCGGCAGCTGGTCCGAACAGGCGCCGCACCGACGCGACGGGCGGGGCGAGTTCGTGGCGCGCTGGCAGGCCCAGCAGGGCGTTCCCAATCAGACAGGCAGGCAGGCGGACAGGCAGGCAGACAGCAGCAGACAGACAGGCAGGCATGCAGACGGGCGGGCAGGCAGCCCGGCGGAACAGACAGGCCGACAGCCGGGCAGCGGGGAAGCAAGGCGCGGTCGGCGGCGGCTCCACTCACCCTGGGTCACCTGCACAGAGCCCCGGGACCTGCGGCGGCCGACTCCGGCCCGGGACGGCCGGACGGCCCGGCCCGGCCAGGTTAGTGGCGGCGCGTCGGGCGGCGCGCGCGTCGCGGGCGGCGCCGACCGGCGGGCGCGGGTACGCCCGACGAACGGGTCGACGCGCAGGGGGAGAGGCGGAACGATAGAGACAGAGAGGCAGAGAGACAGTGAGAGCGGGTGACAGAGAGAGAGAGAGAGAGAGAGAGAGAGAGAGAGAGAGAGAGAGAGAGAGGGCACCTCCCACCCCCGCTACCTGCTGTGCGTGTAGGCGGTCTTCCTTGGGGCGTGTGGTAAGGTGCTGGTATGTCCGTACAGCACTGGTTAGGTAGGGGTGCAGGGGGATGGGGTCACCCGTCGGTTGTGAGGAGGCTGGCGGACACATCCCAGGGGAATGTCAAAATCTTGGGCCACATAATGTGAGACTGAACCCATCAATGCGGTTCGCTCGACCGCACCCCAAGCTGGCAACGGCTTAGGTATGTGAGAAGTCTTGATATGACGCACACACTCTAGCTTCGCGCGATTACCAATCGCGGTCAGACCCCATCGTTCAGTGCAGTACACAGCTGATGAGCCTAGTATCCGCTATCCGGTATCCGCTATCCGCTATCCGCTATCCGGTATCCAGCATCCGGTCTGCGATCTGCCGGCGCGGACGCCGCAGCGCAAGAGGGGTTGATAGAGAAAGGCAAGGAGGCACGGAGAAAGACAGACAGACAGAGAGAAATACAAAAGGACAGTTAATGATAGTGCAGAGGCACAAGCTCGGCCTGCTACTTCCTTGGAGGCGGATTGCGGCAGAAAGCTTCTTGCTCATGCCAAGACCAGAGTCACATGGCAGCGACATCATCGTTTATTCACAGTATCCGCATCGTAGGTAAAGGGAAATGAGTATTAAAGATTGCATATAAAACTATCGTCTAAAAGTTTAATATCTCATCGTTCCTCTTGTACTGTGAGCAGCCGAATATTGCAGTGCCTGCACTATTCGCCAGACGTCAACAAGTGAATGGCAGCACACGGCTGGTCAGGGCTGCTTTGGATCAGGAGCTGTAGACGATCAGGAGCTGCGGAGGATCAGGAGTCGTGCTGGGCGAGGAGCTGCGCAGGGTTGAGTGCACGCATCGGCCGCGAGTGCGGACTCGCGCCGGTTCTGCCGGAGTGCGAGGCTGCACGCAGCACACATCAACACGAGGGCCGTAACAGAGGACGGGCGAACAACGTGGCCAAAAGGCCAAGCCGCTACAGCTGCGTTTCTTCTCACATGATCGGGACGCTGCCACTTTCCGAAGCGAACGGCGACTAAAACGGTGAGGTAATGATTACACGGCTAATCAGAGGGCTGCACGATAAAACTAGGAAGTCTTTTGAGATCACCATGGACGCAGGCGGCGCCGACCCGAACTGGCAGAGGTGGTGGCCAGCTCGCCGGGGCACGGCGGCGGCGGCCGGAGGCGCCCCGGCGGCGCCGACAATAATAAACGGACGCCGCGCAATCCGCCGGCAAACCAACAACGCAATAGGAACTGGGGTGTGGGCGGGCGTCCAGCCCAGTCCGGGGCCGTTGCGGTCCGCTGCGCCGGCCACGCCGATACGGCGACGGCGGCGCGCGCGCACACACGCGCACAGGAACACACGACCACTGACGACACGCACGCGACGACGACGACACTGAACGCCACGCTGGCCACGCCGCCGGCGCGTACACTGCCCGCTATTGCCCGTTAAACTGCGCGCGCTATTTGAACTGAGGACGACCTGTCCGCGAGGACTATTCGAATGAGGTGGGCCAATGCGGTGCATCCGGTGCGCGAGCGAACGGCGGTGAGCAATCGTTTGGCACAATACTGATCTACGGACACCAACAGGTCGCGGGGGAGCGGCGGGACCACCGTGCCGCCCTCTCTCGGCAGCCGACGAAATCACATGGGACCGACGCTCGGTCCCTGGGCGGGGCGGGACGGGGCGGCCGGCGCGCGGCGCCCGCTACCGGGGCCGCAGCAGCGCCGCCAGCGTCAGGCACCAACCTAGACAGAGCAGGCTCTCCGGATGGGCGCGCAGGCAACCGGGCAGCCTGGCCAGCGGCGGCGGCTGGCTGGCGGCCGGCGCCGCCGACCGGTCCGAGCTGGGCGTGGGCGCCGGCGGCGGCGGCTGCGGCGGCGGCGCCGTGCCAGCCTGCACCTCGGTGCCGAACATCACCAGCGTCCAGTCAGAAACGGTCGCTGTAACGGACACGGCGTCAGTCGGGCGCGAGCGATGACACCAGCACCCACGGGCGACGGGTGAAGTCGCCCACATCACGCCTTTGAACTTTTAACGTTTTAATGGCCAGGTCCCAGGTCTAACAGACGAGAAAAGAGAGGTGACAACTAAACCACGCCAAACTCTTCGGCAGGGCACATGCTGGTAAATTTACGTGTCGAAGCATCGCTTGTCAGTTTTGCCTCAAGTGTTTAGACAAAGCTTAGCCGGGTAACGGCTAACACGCCTTTTCCCGCTCCACTGGCAAGATTCGACACAGACGAGCGAGGGTTGCTCGTAATAATTAAGATTGTGTTCCATTAAGACTTGCTGTGTTCCATTAAGACTTGCTGACAGTTGACTTGTAACGGCTGAGAGCTGTACAATGTCGTGCTGGTGTGCCCCAACACGGTTGATCATGTTTGTTGTAATTCCAACCGCACGGTTGGTCGTGCTTGTTTCAGTGAGAACAATGTACTACTTTCCAGCACGTTTTGTAATCGCCGTCAAGTTTCCGCTGCCATGTTTTACGTCACGACTCGAGGTGTGATGGGCTGACACATTCCTGGTGTTAATCACATGTAGACACACGGATAACCAAAAAAAGCCCGGAGTAAACCTACGCTGGACCCTGCTATGAATCGCTGGCGAAGCGGCACTGAAACAGGAGCAATGCAGCCTTGATACAGTGTGCCAAACACTGCCGGTCCGTTTCTGACAAGCTCACGGCAATTGTCATAAGGCACTGCAGCACACACACTTCAACACAAAAATCATGCTTGCGCCATACTCCGGAGCGAGGGGCGGCAAATGAACAACATCCACGCCTGAAAGCAATAATCCACGTCCGGGACAACAGCACTGCACAACAAAACAGTACATTCCACGGCAGCCAACAATGTTACAACGGTCACAGGCAAGCCGGCCGCATCTACAAAAAAGCACGCGTATCTCGCACATCTACACAAAAGTGCACATCCGGGTCGCTGCAAAAATCGGCGGCGCAGCTGAGGCTTGGCCTCAGCCGCCATGCCAGCGGCGCACCAGTCGGTCGCCGCACACTAGGCGCGACCGGGAGCGGCCGGGCGGCCGGGCATGCAGCGCCGCGCCCCCGAGGCGCCCGGTCGGGTCGGCACACACAGCGGCCGCATGCGGCAAGACGAAGCCGTGTACAGGGCAGCGCTGATGACCCACGGGACCGGGACAGGGCGCGGAGACGGAACGGGGCCCGACGGGTCCCGTGGGAGCGCGGGGACGGGACCTGGACGAGGCAGGACCGAGACGAGACAGGACCGGAGGAAGCACGGGAACAGGACTGGGGGGAGGCAGATCCAGTAGGAGCGGCGACGCAGGTCGGGGACGGTGCAAGTTGGACCGGACCACGACAGGGGACTGGCCACTGGAGACAGGCGGGGCCGAACACAGAGGTGCGCTGGGACCAAGACCGCTGGCAATACAGGGGGAAGGAGCGGGTAGCGACGATCCGGCTCAGGCAGGACGACGACGGTCCCGCAGCCGAGGCCGGCGCTGGACTACACGATGCAGCGAGCACTCAGTACGCGCGGCGACCGCTCGTCCTGCAGAGGGCGCTGGGACGGCGCTGCCCGTGGCCCGGGAGCGCGTCGCGTGCCGGCCGGCGCCGCTACCTGGCTGCTGGCTCTGCCTGTGCCGGGAGAGCTGGTCGGGCCGCTGCTGGGCGCGGCCGGCGCCGCCCGAGAGCGCCGGCCGGTACGGCTGCCGGCCGTCTGACTCCGAGTGGCGCACGTGCACCCCGGAGCGAGGCGGCAGCAGCAACGGCGGTGGCGGCGGTGGCGGCGGCGCGGCGGCGCGCGCCGCGTTCGGATTATAAGGCACGCCGTACAGAACCAGCGTCCAGCGCGCTAACACAAGTTCGCCTGGCGGGAGCGGGGTCAGAGCGATAGACGGGCCGTCACCGACGCCGGGCGTACGACGGGCGGACAGGGGCGCCGCCGGCGGCGGGTGCTGCAGACACGGGTCCGGCTGTGAGCGGTGGCCACACGCGTGAAGCGCCCGCCAGGGGCCAGCAGCGGCGCCCCGGCGGGCGGCACTCAGGTGCAGCAACGACGACACTGCACCACCACCATCCCCGAAACGGCACACAAGCCACTGGACGCGCCCGATGCAGAGATGCCCACGCGTGCGCCCGGTACGGAACACACCGCCTCAGGCGGCGACCCACAGTGGCGCCGGGCGAGCCCACACCCGTGTGCCAGCCAGTTGCGTGTCGCCGCTCGGTGGGGCCGGGGCGGCCGACGCCGCCTCGCCCCTCCGACGACCGGCGGCGGGCCCGCACAGCAGGCGGCAGCGCCGCGGCACGCACCTGAGTAGCGGCCGTCGTTGTGGATCTTCAGCGACCAGGTGCCCAGCGGCGACTCGTCCCAGTTGTGGGTCGTCATGAACGGCCACTCCTGCCGGGCGCCCGCGGCCGGTGAGCACACGACGCCGCACCACATCGAGTCGACACGAATCGAATCGAGCTGTCCCGCACACCGTGCCATTCGGGCACAACAAAATGGGAGCTGTGCGGTCCTTCAGCGCTGGGCTGTAGCATACCCAAACATCGACGCGTTAGAAACCCACCGCAGCGTTAAACTAGCTCGCTTCGGGCGTGATACCACAACAAACATGTGTCTGTCGCGGCGGAAATACCGGCGTGGTGACATGCGGCTCGCACAGGCCAACGGAGCGGCGAAAAGTCACCGTGACAATCCCAGCGCCCATTGCCATCCGCTGACACTGCCGCCATGTTAGGTCCCGTCGGGTCATCCGCCTCCCGCCGACACTCCCCACCTGTGTGGTGCACAACGTCGAAAACAATGGAAGGTTCCAGAGCGACAAGTGTTTTTAAAAAAGTGGGCGTAACACGGCGCCCCGAATCACATTCACTAAGACAATAACAAAGGACTAACGTCAAACCGGCTTGTCACAGCGCATTTGCCCCGTTTGAAACCGAATAACGCCATCAGTGATCAGGCATGACCCTTGTGCCTGCAGGCCGTGACTGCGCCTGTGCTTGGCACTAATCTATGGGTGTTTTGGCGGCCCGCGATACCATCTGCCCCCATCAACAAGCCGACACTTGTCGTGGCAATGGCCTTACAAGCCTTCAGAAAGGCCATCATCGTTCAGCGACCTGATCTGAGATGAGAAGCATACCGGTCCCACGGTAAGCCGAACCAAACTAAGGTGGTTGCAAGTCTTCCGAGAAACAGCGACAGTACTGTATGTTGTCGCGTATTCAGTTGTTGAGTTTCGAGACCTCCGTCTCTCTTCTCCCTTATCTAACTTTCCGACCCCATGGCCAAAACCCGAGGGGTACCTACGGTACTGATTTTGCGCACCTGTACGCGATATATTATGAACCTTGAACCGCCCTCGGGCCAGATTTGTGGACAACATCCGTCCGCACTGGCAAGTCCACGGTCTGGCGTCTCCTGGCTCTGCAGCGGCACAACTGGCCCTGAGCCTGTCCCCAACATCTGGCAAGGTTCCGTCACCGAGCGCTTATCTCCGGAGCGCAGGTGTCGAGCAAAAAGGCGGATGCTTGGCTCCGGCCGCATTTCCGGCCCGTGCCAGCCTTTGGCCTGGCACTAGTTCAATTGCGTGGCGCCTGGTGCTGGGAGTAGCGATGCCGCAGTCTGCTGGTCCGGCGCCGGTTATATGCTGTGCCTTCCTGCGAAGTCGAACCTAGGCGACCAAAGCGGCCGTGCGACTTCTATCACGTTCAGACTTTTGCCACCATGACCTTTATCTCGTACAATCCTTATCTCGTAAAATATTTTGGTATACGATATTTTTCCTCACCATCTGTCTCCAACATCTTGATCTCGTACGACCTTTTCTCATCAGGAAATCGATTCCGTGTGACTCTGAAACATTCAACTTTTCCCCTGGTTGCCGGCTTGCACCGACCCCGACATCAGCCAGGCGCCAGTGGTCGGTGACCCCTGCCCTCGCCTCGTGACCCGGACTGACCCCAACGTCAGTCCAGGCACCAGTGATGACCCTGGTCCCTGCCGGCCACTGCTACTGACCCTGAAGCCAGCCCGGGACGAGTCGTGCGGCCGCTTGTCCAGCAGTGTGCTGGTGGTGCCGGCCGGCGAGGTCAGGAACACCTTGATGTCACCGCGCCGCGTGGCCCTCCAGGCTGATGCGGGCCTGCACGTGCTCCATGTACTTGACGCTAGGACACTGGGCCACCGTCAGCGTCAGCACCACCATACTGTGAGGCGGCACCAGCCTGCGGCACACACACAGCACCAGGTCAGCACCACCATACTGTGAGGCGGCACCAGCCTGCGGCACACACACAGCACCAGGTCAGCACCACCTGACTGTGAGGCGGCGCCAGCCTGCGGCACACACACAGCACCAGATCAGCACCACCTGACTGTGAGGCGGCACCAGCCTGCGGCACACACACAGCACCAGGTCAGCACCACCTGACTGTGAGGGGGCGCCAGCCTGCGGCACACACACAGCACCAGGTCGGCACCACCTGACTGTGAGGCGGCACACACACAGCACCAGGTCAGCACCACCTGACTGTGAGGCGGCACACACACAGCACCAGGGTCGGCACCACCTGACTGTGAGGCGGGCACCAGCCTGCGGCACCACACAGCACCAGGTCAGCACCACCTGACTGTGAGGCGGCGCCAGCCTGCGGCACACACACAGCACCAGATCAGCACCACCTGACTGTGAGGCGGCACCAGCCTGCGGCACACACACAGCACCAGGTCAGCACTACCTGACTGTGAGGTGGCGCCAGCCTGCGGCACACACACAGCACCAGGTCGGCACCACCTGACTGTGAGGCGGCACACACACAGCACCAGGTCAGCACCACCTGACTGTGAGGCGGCACACACACAGCACCAGGTCGGCACCACCTGACTGTGAGGCGGCACACACACAGCACCAGGTCGGCACCACCTTCCTGCGGAGCGGCCCGCAGCATCGCACCAGTCCGCACCGCCCTAAGTGAAGGGTGGCACAGGCACAGAACGGATGGACAGAGGCGGCGCCGCGCGGGCGGCCAGCCACCTACTTGTCGACGTGGCTGGAGGGCGTCTCACACTTGTGCTGTTCGGGCACGGGCGTCCAGCGGCGCGCCAGGTTCACCATGGCCGTGGCGTCCATCAGGCCGTAGCCGAACGAATGGCTCACTGCGGCAGATCGGCGCCCGCGCACCATCCCGTCAGTGGTCGGCTGTCGGGGCGGCCGACCCGCGGCGGGGGCCGACAGCCGACAGGCTGGACACGGTGAGCGCGGGCCAGTCCGGAGCGAGCGCAAACGGTCCTTGCCGTGCCGTTACACTGTCGGGCCCGGGCCGGTCTCAGGATACTTTGGTACTTTGGTACTTTGGAGTCGAATGCAGTGACATTCCCGTCACGGTGGCAACCACACTAAGGATTATCCGAAGTCTGGGTAATCCGTAGAGTGCGCTCCATCACCCCCCCCCCCCCCCCCCGCCCTCCAATATGCAACATCCTTCGAACCATTACTGCCACGGCCAAGCCGCGCCGTTGGTCCTGCTTGTACAGCCGCGTACCTCAACACACACCACCCCCGCCACACCCCCAGCGTCCCCCCCCCCCCCGCCCCCGTCTTGTGGCATACCGTTGCGGCCGACGCCGTTGGTGACCCAGTCGGGCGCCTGCAGGTTGGCGCGGCGCGCCGTGCGCACCACGATGTGCTGCATGTCGCGCCAAGTCAGCCGCTCGTTCACCTGGCGGCCCGGAGCGGCGTCAGCTGGCGTCGGCCGGCGACCGTGGCCGCCGGGCGCGCCGCGGTGCGCCGCCGCGCCTCGGGGTGCAGCGCCGAGCCGCCGCTCGCCAGCGGCCTCGACCGGCGCCGGCCGTGACGGTGCCGGTCGCGGGTCGGCGACGGTCGATGCCGATGGGCCGCATCAGGCCGGGGGGCGGCTCGGCCGCGTGTCGGCAGGCGATCGATCGGCCGCGACACGCCGTCACAGCGTCAGCGCCCGACTCAATTGGACCAATTACTTCGGCCGGCTCAACAAACAAAGCGGGGGCTGGCAGCTGCGCGGCGCAACAACTGCGAACAAACAGACGGCGCCGGCTGACGGTCCGGCACCGGCTCCCAGTATTGACGGCCGCGTGGGCGCCCGGCCGACAGGTTGCCATAGAGGGCTCCCACGCGCGCTCAATTTCCGGCTCAGCGATCGAGTGTCAATTCAATCGCGGCCCGTCAGGCCACTTGGAGCGCCCGGTCGATGCGTCGGCCCACCCGCGGCCCGGCGGCGGCGATCGGGCGGCGCGATACTGCGATAACTGAGGCGCGTGGGCGGCAGGAGGGCCCACGGCCCAACGGGTCAAAGATGGTCCGCACAACGGTCCCACGAGATCTGCGGATTGGTCACGAGGTTCGAAGAACTGTGTGCTCACTTAATGTGCTGGACGGAGTGGTCCGATGTGGTTCGGTACCCGGGAATCAATTTCAACGATATACGCATCTTTCTTAAAAAGTGCGCGTTTCTGATGGCACCAAACTTTGCAAGGCAGTCGCAATTTTTACAATCCTTACGTAGACATTCCGGTTCACTCGCAGACAGCGGCACCATCTCCGGAACAAGCACCAGCCGAGTGATCAGCCGAGCTCGGGCTGGAGACGCGCCCGAAGACAGCGCACAGGCCGCCCCACGCCGAGGTCCGAAGGTCACACACCCCGGAGAGGGGAGGGAGTGGGAGCGGCCCCGCGTCCCCGCCGGACCGGAGGGTTCCCAGGGAGGTCGGCTCAGTTAAAAACAGTTGAGAAATACTGAAGGGGCTGGGAAATACAGGGGGATCTCGGTTGCGCCAGAGATAGCAGCTCGGGTGAGCAGTCTGCGGGGCAGGCCTCGGCAAACAGACACGGCTGACTTCAGAGACCCCGACAGTCCAGAGCTGAGGAGGCGGGAAGCACCGGCCCCCACGCAGCGCTGATAACCCGCTCCTGCGCCCGGGGCAGGTCACACCCCACAAGAGGGGAGGGGAGGGGGGTCCCAGCGGTCCTACCTGGCCGGCCAGGTGCCAGGAAGGACCGTCCGATCTAGGCTAGAGGCCTTGGGCCCAGGTTAAAGAGAGCCCTAGGCCAACCTAGGTCACAGAGGGCCCCAGATTCAGGTCAAAGAGAGCCTCGAGACAAACCCCCATCAAGGAGCCAGGCTCATCAAGGAGAGCATGGACCAGGCTCCGGTTAGGAAGACCATTTGGAAAGCATGAAGGTCTGGAGCCGCCCTCACAAAGACCACCATCAGAGTGAGCCCTCCGACGAGCCGCGATCAGTAGGAGTTCTCCGACAGGCCCAAGTCACGCTGTCACTGCACACACGCACACACACACACACACACGAATGCACACAGCCCGCTACGTACCGCCGCCGGCCGGGCACCGCCGCTGTCGGCAGAGGGACGGGAACACGGTGAGTGGGCGACGGCCGGTCCCGCCGGCCGGGCCACGACGCGGTCCGCCTCGGCTGCCGAACGCTGTCAGGCGCCGCACGTTGGCCCCCCTCCCGCCCCCACCTCCTCCACTGCAGCGGGACACACGCTCTCGTCGATTTGGTTATTTCACAGAAGCGTACTTCACTTTGCGCACAAGATGGCCATGAGTCGGCGGTCTAGACCTCGACGCCCGCCCACGCCTGGCACCAGACACCACGTGACCCCGGCGCCGTTACCGGCGGTGAGCGCGAGCTCGCGCCACCGTCGCAGCCCGCGGGCGGCGCTGGACCGGCCGTACCTGCAGGGCGAGTGCGCAGATGCCGGCCGCCAGCGGCGCCGAGGCCGAGGTGCCCGTGTGGGTGGTGGTGCAGCCGCGGTGCAGGTCCGTGGTCACGATCTGCCGACCGGACCGCGGTCAGCGAGGCCAGACGCCGGTGGCGGGGCGGGACACGAAGCTGACCAACGGGGCGAGATGTTGGCACAAGAGCGCTAGGCGCGTGGACGAAAAGAAGAGAACATGCAGGGTAGGACAGACCTGCGCACTACTCCTCGGGAATCACCTAGATGAACTTATCATTAAAATTTTAGAGAGACTAAATACACCAGCGTCATTGCCAGCCGGCTCACCGATCACTCGTGCTGGCTCAACTCGTCCACACAGCGGGAAGCGCACAACCTGTCGCCACGCTCAGCCCAGCGAGCACATCCCCACTCTCGGCGCGTTGTCCGGCCACTCGCCTGCTTCTCGAGGCCCGAGCCGGAGCTGTAGGTGGTGGCCAGCGTCGAGCTGCACGCCTCCGAGTACCAGGGCACGTGGCCGTTCTCGGTGGCGCTGCTGATGCTCAGCGTCCACAGGCTGTTGGTGTAGCCGTCGCAGTTGCAGTTGTCGCGCTCGCGGCCGCCGTTGCCCGAGGCCCAGACGAAGATGGAGCCCTTGCCGCCACGGCCCTGCCGGCGCCGGTAAGTCTGGCGTCTCAAAACGGCGCGCCACTTCCGGCTGTGCTCGCGCCCCGGACGGGGACGCGGCGCTCGCGAGACGGGTGACAAAGCGGCCCTTCCGTAGTCCTCCCCCCCCCCCCCCCGGGGACGAAGGGACAGAGTCCTACCGGCTGGTGGCCGGATATGACGATGGTTACAAGCTGCCGTCACTGTGATCATGACCGCTGCCAGAAATATGTAGCTCGGCTTCGAGTGCAGCTCGCAGAGTTTTCCGCCCCGTCACCTTTGATTAATAGCAAAGCCCGAGGGCGGACCAGCCAGCCATGTTACACTTCGAGCTGAAACCGACCGTACGCGAGCTCAGAAGACGAAGGTCGGCGGTTAATGAGCACCCGGGGCTAACGTTTTACGTAACATGGATGCTATTGCTAAGGACTGACGCGCGGAGACTGTTGTGTCAATTTCCGCAGACACCCAATCAATCCGGCGCGCTGGAACGTGGATGACAACCAATATATCCGACCTGATAGAGAGATATTAAGATAGTGCCTCATGTCTTACACACAAGCTGCAGCAATGCATACTATGCATAACCATGAATACTTTAATTAATGATACTTGGATGAAAATACTTGCATGTTTAAAACAATCAAGGCTTGATTTTCAATACCCCCAGTGCTGCCTGGTGTACCAATACGTGGTTCTGAGGAGCCACCGTCCGCGGTTCCTCGGACCAGAGCAGCGGGACCGAGCGGGCCGTCAGTGCTTACGTTGATGATGCCCTCCTTGAAGGCGCGCCTGGCCAGCTCGCCGGGCCCGTCGACCGTCTCGCCGTCGTCGTCCGGTCCCCAGCTGGCGCTGTACACGTCGATGTGCTGCTGGTTCAGGCTGAGCGAGCGCGCCTCCACCGCGTCCGTCACCTCGCCGTCCAACATCCGCACACCTGGCGGCCGACGGGCGAGGCTCAGCTGCCGCATTCCGCGCATAGGTGGCGGACCGGTCGACAGCGGTGACGCGGCACGGGGCCTACGGTCAAGGCCCGGCCGCGCGGCCTCTCGCAGACGAGCAGCCGCCGCAACCCGCCGACCGCAGCGGAGAACACGCGGCCGCCCCCCCCCCCCCTCCCGCTACTCCTCCCCCAGGGTCACGGCCGGAGCGGCGCGCGCGCGCGGCCAGCCGCGCCACCGCCCGCGCTCGGCCCACCGGACAGGCCCATTCCGGCGGGGCGGTCGGCGGCCGGGTGGCTAGCGATGGCGCGCGGCCGTACCGCCGATGTTGGCCTCGAAGGCGACGCCGACGGCGCACAGCGAGTTGTTGGCGCCGCCGGCCACCTCGCCGGCGCAGCGCGTGCCGTGCCGGTTGCTGTCGTTGAGGTCGTAGCGCGGCTGCGGGTCCGTGTCGCGGCTGTTGACGTCGTAACTGGCCATCGGGTCCTGCCGAAGACACATTCCGCATCAGTCTTGGCGGGTCGGCTGCCGAACGCACGGTTCACGTCAGTCCGGGCCGGCCGGCGGCGCTGGTCAGTGCCAAGCATGCCATGCGGTCGACGGCACGCGCACCGAACACACGTGGAGAGGGCGCTGTCGGCTGCTGAGCGGCCAACTCGGCGCAGAAGTCAGCGCCGCACATGGCGCCCATCTTGCGCAGCAAGTCACTACATCAATAAATACCGATTCACATGTAAACGTCGCATTCCAGGCCAAGTGCGCCGTGGGCCGGCAGATTTCGTGCGCGATGTGCGCCGCGCAGTGAGCCGCCGTTCAGCCACAATCTGTCGCCTTCAAGTCATGACCTGTCTGCTCTTCAGCCCTTGACTGGCCCGTCGGGCGGCCAGCCACTCACAGAGCAAACCTTGCGCGGTTACCCCAACAAATATGACGACACCGGAGATGCCTCAGACCGCACAGGTGTTTTTCCCAGGCTGCGTGGCGTCAGTACAGGCAGCTCGACTTAGGCGCAGGCAGGCGCGACTCAGCTGCAGGCGCGACAGCCGACCTCTCAGCGCGAGACGTGGTGAAATGAGCGAGTGAAAACACACCACATGTGCCGAAGACAAATCCCTCAGCCGGTGATAAATAAATCTCCGGTGGCTACATTACAGCGTGGCCAGAGTTATGAACCTGTTTGTAAGCGCATCCCGTGAGGCTCGATATCAGTGAAGCCCATTAGATAAGAAAGTTCATCGTATACCATTTTATTATTCATCATATATTCATCATACCATCATATCATTACAATCGTATACCATTTTTTTTGCCGCGGCGTCTCGGTACCAAACTTGTTTTTCGGTAAGCATCGTCTGCCGATAAACATCGGCCACAGCACAGGGCCCTTCTGCGCAGTCTCCCCGTTATCAGCGGAATGCCCCACATGTTTGACTGAACGTCTCACACAGCCGGCGTTTCCTGCCGAGCGTCCCCGGAGAGCGTCACACTACGGTTCGTTTACGACGCGAGCAGAGTGGCACACCCCCGCCATGCTTACACGAGGCCATCTCGCCGTGACAAGGCGAGGTGTCGCAGCACTGCTAACCGTCCCGCTGACAGGGCGCAGCCGGCCCAGATCTCGTCCGGATGAATCACGGCCGCTGTCCACACGTCAGTCGGCGCTCATTCCGCCGCCGCCGGCGCTCATTGGTCGGCGCCGCGGTGACGAGCGCCGCCAGCCCAGGACGGACAGACGGGCGGCACGCTCGCGGCGGCGTGCGTGGGCTGCAGGTCACGACCGGGCGCCGTCCGCACGGCCACCTGCGTGATCGCCGACACCTGGGGCCGGGTCAGGACGCGCCGCGTCGAGCCGCGCCGTCTACGGAGTTGGGAACAGCGGGCGGCCGTGTACGTGGATGTATGTACATCCGAGATGCCATGGACAGAGCCGCAACAACGCCGTGGCGTCGACGGCGAACACCTGCACTTGCCACGGTCTGGCTTCTACAGTGATCAAAGGATTGTGACGTGCACTGAATCTCCGACTTTTCCCCGCCGGATTTGCTGCAGGGCGATTCAAAAAAGAGACTTCCCAGACAGTTGTCGGCTTATTTCAGAAATCCTTGAAAGAATTAAAAGGAGCAAACTAGAAGATTCTACCAGAATCGAAAACCTTTGATACCTAATGAACTCGACTCAGGGATCCGACACAAAAAGGATGAGCGCCACTAAACCTCGCCAGCTGGCGTCCCCGCGCGCGCAGGGACACCACACCGGCGGCCTCTCCCGCGCCCCGGGGGAGCGTGCGCCGCGCCGAAATAGACCGGGTTGGAAGGGAGACAGGCCGAGCGGTGGCAGCGACACCACGCCCAGAGACACGTCCCCTCCGACAGAGGCACGACGACTGCGGCCGACGCACGGGCTCACGCGCGTGCCACGAGAGAGCCTGCGCGACATGGGGTTTGCACGGAGTGACACGTGGTGGGACGAGTGGGCGTTCTTGCCGTCTGAGCAGTCTCGAGAGGCACCGGCGCGGGCGCGACGCCGAGCCCAAACACGGCGTTGATGGGCCATGAAGAGCCCCCCCCCCCCCCGCGGTGAAGAAGGGAACAACGAGGCGGACTGGCACGCAGCCTCAGGAGACGTGTAATTCAACGAGACATGCCGGGCGTAGCGTTTCCTTGCTTGGCACAAGGAAAAACAGCACTGAAAAGTACTGACCGCCGGTACGCTCGCAGCAGACCAGCGGCGAGGAGCAGCCGGCAAGAGCCCAGCCCACTTCCCGCAGCCCGATTTACCCAGCCTTCGCACGCCGCACTATGCATTCCAGCGCGTTGTCCGCCCCCGTGCACGGAGCGAGTTGCCTTGTCGGCGGTCACTGTGTGCGAACCAGCCGTCCGAGCTGGCGCCGGCGGTCACGGCTCGGCTGGCCGACACGAGACGAACCGCGACCGGCGCCGGAGCCGGCCGCAGGCGGCCCCACCCCGCCCGCCGGGTCGGCGGCGTGTCACACGCGCCCGCGGCCGCCAGCCGCCTCCTCACACCGAGCCGGCTTAGTGCGGACACGCGGCAGTCTACAGCCGCCCGACACGTCACACGTGTCACACCGAGCCGACCTAGTGCGAACACGCGGCAGTCTGTGTGTCATTGGGGCTTTACGACGCACTCACCTGCTGAGGCTATATGGCGTCGCCTGTCTCTCACCCTGGCAGGAAGGGCGGGCGCCGCGGGGAATCGAACCCCGTTCCTCTGGTCTCCCAGACGCGCAGTGGTTAACGCAGGCGCGTTAACCACTACACTACCGGCACCCACGGCAGTCTGTGGCCGCCCGTCACGTCACATGCGTCACACCGAGCCGGCGTAGTGCGGACACGCGGCAGTCTGCGGTCGCCCGTCACGTCACATGCGTCACACCGAGCCGGCGTAGTGCGGACACGCGGCAGCCTGCGGCCGCCCGTCACGTCACATGCGTCTCACCGAGCCGGCGTAGTGCGGACACGCGGCAGTCTGCGGCCGCCCGTCACGTCACACGCGTCACATCGACACCGCTCGTCACACCGAGCTGGCGGACCGCATTCTTTTTTACGCGGTCATCAGTCCGTACATAAATCACACGATCAATGTTCGCTTGGTTACAAGTCGGCCGTCGCTTAGTCGTCAGATGGCCGGGCGTTTTGTCTCCCGTGCCGCCATTTGTTCGGTTACAGGACTGCTGTTGGTTCTTTGTCTGGCCCCGTCCGTTTATTAATGCATCGCCGTTCTTTCAGTTTCCCAGCCCAGACTGTGCCAGCGGCCTTCGCGTGCAGCCGAGCGCGGAAGAGCGCCGGTCCACATCGGCCAAAACGCTGTTAAACATCTGGCTAGCAAACACAAAACAGCTGACAGTGAAAACTAAGTGAAACATTAATTCTGGCGACTTCGCTATCACGCGGAACATTGTTTTCATGGGCGTGTCTGGAGTCGGGCGCCAGATGAACATATACACGGACAGCTACAACAAACACGACAAGCAAAACGCATTTAAGGATGTTATCGTTCTTGGACAGCACTGGAGCGATGAGATAAGATAATCGGGTCTAGCGGATGATCTGGGTGAGTGCTGATGATCCAGGGACAGTGCAGCTTGCATAGCAACGCAGCAACGTAGCAGCAGGCAGTGACGCGACCGCAAATTAACTAATTTTTTTGCATTTTTTTAAAATGACGAGACCGTAACAAAAATGCAATGTCGGCGATGAGAACGTGGTTTATGCTTGCATGCTTTCGTGCTTGCAAGGCTTTTCTCTTAGACTCCAAACGCTCACAGCCTTGTGATGGCCGTCTGTCTTCGTCAGGCTTTGATGGCCGAAAGTTTTGGTTTCGGTCTGATCTGGACAGCAAATGAACAAAGCCTGTATTGCACCAAAGACGCAACTTTGCGCTTAATGTGACGAAAGGCATTTCAGCATCACTAAATCGATATAGCGCCAGACTGGGCGGCTAGCTCCAGGCGTGCTTTACTATGGTCACGCGATATTGCTTTCCATGACAGGCCATCCAATGACAGAGAAACGTTATTACACACTTGACACTTCCAATTTCTCGACACGAAGCGCGGATACAAAGAAAACAAGGAAAATGGGCGCGTGGCACCGCGCTGCGAGCTGCCGAGGTCGTCGGCTCTTATTTAAAGCGAACGTCGTTTATCAAACACGATAAATGTTGGGGTAAGCCGGGAAAGAAGCCCCAAACAGATGCGATAACCACGGAGACAAAAAGCGCGAACGCATATCCACGGCCGATGGAAGAAGATGAACGAGGTCGAACGCCAAGTCCGTCCCCCACCCCGCTCCTGTGTGTCTGACGCCCGCTACTGGGCCGTTCATCACAACACGCCTCTGCCGACAGGTGGCGCCAGTCTCCCGGCGCCGCCACCTGTCGCCCCGCGTGGCCGGCTCTGCCGGAGCCCCGCCGGTGCCTCAGCAGTCCTCCCCAGCGGCGGCCCGGCGCCGACAGCCGGCCCCGCAGCTCGGCCCGGCGCGCGGCGGCCACCGACCGCCGGCTACTCACGTAGTTGTCTATGAGGTCGGGATGGTCCTTCTCCAGGCCGTCGTCCAGTATTGTGACCACCACGCCACGGCCGGTCACGCCCTGCGACCACGCCCCCTGCACGTTCATGTCGAGGCCGGCGCCGCGGTTCTGTAACGGCGACGGACGAGGTCAGGCGGCGCGCGAAGGCGGCGGTAACGACAGGTCGGCACGCGGTCGGCGGCGGGCGCGCCGGCACGGACGCCACCGGGCCGGCGCCGCCGCAGCGTCGCCTCACAGCGGCACCAGACACGCGCGGGGGAGTCGGCCCGCAGCGCCGGAGACGTCACAGGCAGGCACGCCGGCGATTACCGTGAGCGGGATGAGGAGCGGGCTCTGGGAACGGCGGCCGGCCCGTGACGCTCGCCCTGCCCGGCACCGGGCCGCGCCACGGTTCCGGGTGCGGCGTTCGCGTGGGAGGGCAGTCACGGTGCGGGGTGCTACGGCGCCGCCGACTGCCGCCCCGCCCGCCGCCGCCGGCGACCAGGGCGGGGCGCAGCCGGGGGCCGCCGGCAGACGTCCGGCTCGGCAGCCGTGTGACGCCGTGATTACGGCCGGCCGGCGGCGGACGTCGAGCCGGCGCTTTAATCAGGCCCCGGGGCGAGCGAGCCCGGCGGCGGCGGCGGCTCGGTCACGCGACGGCAGAGGCCCGACGAACCTGAGCCGCCGTCGCCGACCCGCTCGTCAACACGACTCAAATGGAGCCACACGGGCGGACACGGAAGGCTCGCTTCAGATCAGAATCCACAAACATGAGATCGAATCAAGGTCAAGCCCTTGACCTTAGGGTCGGCGCCCTTGGCCAAAGCCAATCCCGCGGCACCTGACATCCACGTCTGTAAACCCAACTCGCCCCCGCGCCACGGTTGACCTCTGACGCATATGTAAACGGTTGCATTCCAGCAGCACGAGCACAAGATCTCACATTAGAATCCACCCGCAAATATTTCCCGTCACGTGCGCCGCTCGGACGCGTGCCCCTGTGGCCGGTGCACTTGAGCTGCGGGCATCTGGGACCGCGGCGACGCCACCGGAGCCGGGGCGCGCCGCTGGAGGCCGCGGGATCGGTGGCGCGGCCTGGCTTCTCGTGGCGGGCGCCGGTGCCCGCTGCGGCCTGCGACAATCTCCCCGATCAATACGGTCGCCGCACTGACTGCTCGTACGCAACTTCCGGGCGGCCCCTGGAGGCCGGCGGGCGCCCGTCCGTCGGCCGACGCGGGCCGGGGCGGCGTGCGGCAGAACACGCCCGGCGGACCGAAGACGAAAGTCCCCGCGGTTGCAACCGGTCCCACGCGCGACTTCTGACTATATGTCGACCGTTTTCCTGCGAAGGACTTCCTTGAATATTGCATCTGAAGGGTTGAATCAGTACGGTGACTAATGTTGCATCAGACGAAATAACATGCCTCTTCGGGGGAAATCGTTGGCTTGATAACATTCCACTCGCTTAAAACCACGGAAGTTGTTGAGAGGACCATTTGAAGACGTTATAAGTTTTGTTTATATTTGGCTCACGCCCAAATTTAAGCGTCAGTAGGTCACATCCTCACATCGCCACGGATGAAAAGGTACCTAAGTGACTGCTTGTCTTCTCAAATAAACGTAAAACAGAAATGACCTACACGTTCTATTGCATATCTTCACTAACGTTTTCGACTGGCACATGCACCGGGGGGCATGGTCTAGGCGCAGCGCTTTACTGTGAGGTGTCACAAGACACAGAACCCAGGCATGCTGAACTCTGAACCCAGTGGCCAGCTTGGCCTGACTGTCGAGGCTGGGCAGCCCCCGGCCCCTTTCCCTTTCAACGCACGCATCTTTGATGGACGAAAAGACATTGGTAACCGATAACCGCCAAATAAGTGCATTCTGCAGAAAACAAAACACGATGGTCCGAACTTCCCATGATGCCACGGTGTGACCCAGCCGTTGCCACCGCGGGTCCGGCCGCTGCCACTGCCGACCACCGGCAGGCACGGCGGCACGAGATGGGCGTCGCCTGCCCTCGCGCCAGGCGGTCCCGACGGCTGCCAAGCCGTCGCATCGAGCCTCCACCTGGCGTCGATTAGCCGGCTCGCGTGCGAGCCGCCGCGCCGGCCAGACCGACTGTCTGGCGCGGCTCGCAGTCGGCCCGCACCAGGCGCGACCTCTGGCAGGCGGTGCCGCCGGCCCATAACTCATACCGGCCGACCGGGCGCCGGCCGAACGCGAGCCACGACCGAACGACGCTCCCGGGAACACCGCGCCCGGTCGACAGCGAACAGCCCCAATCAGTGTGCCGTTCGTGCCAGGCTGCCACTCGTTGCCAGTCGATGGAGCCGAGCAGCGCGCGGCCGGCCGCGTGTGCCGACAAATGACTGGCGGCGCCGGCCGGCCGGCCTCGCGCTTCGCTCGCCCTGCGACCGTTGACCCGTCTGCGGGCCGACGAACGCGCGGCCCGCAGCGCCGGCGCCGGACAGACGCCGCGGCGCCCGCCGGCACCTGCCCCCCGTCCGGCTGCACGGCCGGCGGTGTCTCAGGCCGAGCCGCGCCGCTCCGAGCCACCGCTGCCACCAGCGGCACCGGCGCCAGCCGCGCACACCAGCCGCGCGCGCGTCTGCGGACGGGGCAGTTGGCCGGCGCCGGGCCAGGCGGGGCCGAGCGAGCCGAGCCGAGCCGAGCCGAGCCGAGCCGAGCCGAGCCGAGCCGAGCCGAGCCGAACCGAGCCGAGCCTAGCCGAGTCGAGCCGAGCCGAGCCGAGCCGAGCCGAGTCGAGCCGAGCCGAGTCGAGTCGAGCCGAGCCGAGCCGAGCCGAGCCGAGCCGAACCGAGCCGAGCCGAGCCGAGCCGAGCCGAGCCGAGCCGAGCCGAGCCGAGCCGAGCCGAGCCGAGCCGAGCCGAGCCGAGCCGAGCCGAACCGACGCCGGTCGCGCCCTTGCCGCGAGCGGTCCGACCAAGCAGCCGCCGAGCCGCGCGGCGTCCGGCCCGCGCACCGTTCCGGACCGACCGCTCTCCCCCGGCGTCAACGCAGCCTACCCGGAAAGCGTGCGCATCTCACGGACAGACGACCGACACGCCCGCGGAATTCGCCGGGTGGGACCAACTCCGACACGGGATCCATCCCGCAGGCATTGGCGCGTGTGGGAGCTAACAGAAACGCGTCCCTCCTGCCCGCGCCCAATGCAGACGTCTCGTGCATGCCGCAGACCGTCTGGGTCGACGGAGAAGTTCCGGTTGTACCGCCCCTCCGTGCTGTCTACGTCCGCCTCTGCCCGCCGGGTCCGATCCGGACTGCCGACGACCGGGATAAAAGTGTCGAGTCACCGTGCGATCAGCATCTGAGGATTTGCGGGCCGGACGGAGTGAGCCAGCTTCCTCGCGAGCTTCCTTTCAGCCGTATTGCTGCGTGGTGAGACATCTCACGGCAGCGCTGACCAAAAGCGGACCTTTCTCGACAGCTCGCGGACAGACGGCTGGCAGGTTATTACATTTTGAAGGAAACAAACGATCAGAAACCGAGTGAGCACTGCGAGGGATTTGTTACTAACAAAGACGCGGAGAGCCGAGCTCCTTCTCGGCCGCCGGCCATCTTTTGCTGCAAACGAAACCATAGGCGGAGGGGGCTTTACTCGGATGGTGATAAAACTTTTAACTGGAGCGGCCCAGTCCGGCCGTCACGCCCCTCGGGAACTACCCACCATAGTGCTGTCTCGCTGGGGCAGCTAATATCGCGCCAGCTCACACTACTCGCAGCTTCGCGCAGCTTTCAGCAGCAGAGCTGCCACTATTCAAAAGACGTGCTGCGTATCTCCATAGATTTTAATGTCACTACTCAAAAGACATGCTGCGTATCCACATAGATTTTCATGTTTCTGCGCAAAAGGTCTCTTCAGCAGCGCCACCCGACTAACACCACCTGGCTGCCAAGAGAGCGCTGACCATGGCATTGCTAACGTGCGGTTCGCGGTGTGCAGCCGGTCACGCGCGCTCGAGCCTCAGCCAGGGGTCCGCCCGCTCTGGGATGCTTTTTCAGGAATGATGGCAGATCTCGGCAGTCAGACCAGAAAGACTTGGAGCCAGCTGCCAGAGGCATGCGCATGTACCAGCTATAAATCACTTAGAGACCTCGACACTTCATGGCCCACAGTTGCGTCAAATACTGAGCGGGAAACGGCCAGCATTAGGCTTATCGAAATCAGTACTGAATGGGAATACAACGTGCACTAAACCAAGAGAGTCACGAAAACCACAGAGGCGTGAACCCCAGCGACTGAGCCCATGCTCACGCCAAACGCGTGGGACTTACTCACCGTCACCGCAAACATCAATCACAGATCTGTCGATTTTGTTGCCAGCAAACACCCAGCCCGGTCACGCCCACCTGCAGCCAAGCCTTCCTTGCCTCGGGCCTTGTTATCACCCACATGACCTGGATTCCTAGCATTAAGTATGCTATCACCTATCTCGTCTCATGCGGCACAAGGCACATCTTTGGTCCGCTAACACGGAATTCGTAAGCATGAGTCTGAACGCCACTGCAAATTTTCACAGAGGCGCGGACACAAACCGCCCTGACCAGGGGCTCCGCAGCGCCGGCCGACAGGCAGCATTGCCCCGCGCGCGCCACCAGTGCCGGTCACGAGGCGCAACGGCACGGCAGCCAACTGCTCTCCCAACTGCCTTCCCCTGGGGCAGAGCTTCGCGTAGCAGGCAGCCGGCCTTGCGCTTGCCCCCGGTTCGGGCCCCGTACTCTACAGTCTGCTCGGCGGCAGACGTGCGCTGACGCGGCGCCAGAAGAGAATCTGCGCACGTCCCGTGGGAGCGCACGCCTAGTGGACTCCCACGCCACCCAAAGACGAGCACACGGGTCTGAACCGCCGCGCGCGACGGCGCAACGGGTCGCGACGGTCGGCTGCCGTAGCGAGGCCGAGCAGCCGCGGCGGCCGCGGCCCGGCGCGCTGGCCACCGCTGCCGGCCTTGCGGCCCGGTCGCCGCCGGTTTTCCGGAGCGCCGGCCACGCCCAGATGGGCGGCGAACAACACGCCGCACACACACGCCGCCGGCGGCGGCCGTCGGCCGCCGGTGGTGGCGGCGCGCGGCGCTGTTGCCGGGCCGACAGCGGCCGGTCGACCTTCTGCTCCCCCGGGATCAGACCACTTCGGCGGGGCGAGTCGCGGCCGAGATCAGCGCCAAAGCCTCTCACAACACGCTGCACAGCTCAGCCGCTAGCGGACAGAGCGCAGCCTTGCACGGCACCGGCGCCGGAAACTCTCGGCGTGTCCGAGCACCCCGCACATGTTGCCTGACCGAAATCAATACACCGCACCAGATGGTGCTTCTGCGACGCGCGCGCTCACATCTAATGCACGTCGTGGGGGCAGGCCGCGCCCGTAATGTAAGCAACGCCCATCCACTCCACGCGCCGGATCGGCCATTAGGAGAGGTAACCCGGTAAACAGCCGTCTGTTTGCCGGCCGTCGCCCGACCGGTCGCCAGAGCTGCGCCCAGCCGCCGCCAGCACGACCGGCCGCAGCCCAGCCGCACCGACTGCGAGTCCGCGCGGCGCGGCCGTCGCCGCCCGGACACCGCGGCAATCAGTTCCGCAAACATGCAGAACAGCGGCGCTGGCAGTGACGCCCTGCCGCCTGACGGACGGCCCGGCTTGTTGTGCTTGCCGACGGGCGGGGTGATAGTTTCTGCACGCGGACAGCTGATGGCTCCTGTAAACAACTTCTAAGCAGATTACACCACTCGGCGCCAGAGTCGGCGTCCGGTCCCCCGCCGCGCCACGGCGCTCCGCCGCGCGGCCGGCCGTGACGGCCGCCGCGTCACACACGGTACGGCGCGTGACGACCGTGCTGATCGGCGGCGGCCACGCGCCGGCGTGACGGCTCCATTGGTCGCCGTCGCTGCCGACCGAGCGACCGGGGGACAGCGGCGGCGGTCGAGCTGGCAGGGAGCGCCGCAGCGCCGTCCCGGCCGACCCGCCGGCGCAGGCTCCCGGCCACAAGAGACGGGCCGGCCGCGGCGCGGCACACGCGGCCGGCACAGGAGTTCGCCAACACACGACAGGCCTCGACGGGGCGCCGGACCACGCCAGACGGCGTCCGGGCTCGTGCTCTGAGGCGCGAGTGTCCGCTCTTGGCGGAGACTCGGTGATCGCGTGGGCCGGGGACAATTGGGTCTGGTTAGTGACGGGACAGGGCGAGGATGATCCGACTGCGGCAGCCTTCAAAGGTCTGCAGAGTCTTGCAAATACTTGAGCAAAAAAACATGCACAAGTATTTGCAAGACGGCATATGATGACGGTCAATTAGGCGAGCAGACGGCCAACTGCCAGCAACAAAGCCAATTTCGGACTGACCCGCACCACGGTATCTATACCGTTTTACAAAAACATATTTGATAGCTTCGCTGAAATTCGATGTTTTCATACAAGGGCCTAAATCCAATCGAGGTTGCATTGGTCGCAGACTATTGCAGTACGGATTACCAAGCTATAACAGCCTGCAACCGGTTTAGAACGACCTTCATCAAATCGGTTTGGGTTGCCTGTTTCAAGTCGATTTTACACGTCGGCTATCGCAGGCTATCGCAGGCTATCGCACCGCCAATATAACTGGAAGCCCATGTGCCGACGCTGGAGTCAGTTCTGGAAACAGCAGTCCATGCTCAGATCCGTCGTCAATTATGTGGCTGACTTTGATCTGGTCCGAACTTAACTCGGAACATGTGTGTGGCCTTTGAGAGTGGCACTCCAATCAAGCGAGCCGATTGGCCACCCACGGCAGCGTAATGAAATCCAATAATAGGACACATCTCCCGGAAAATATGGCGAATCAGCATTTTCGGCCCGCTTCTATGAGCCAAAGCATCTCAACAGACCAACTTTGAACTCCAATTTGCCTAATCGCGAAATAACTGCACACTCAGTCTGCGGCTATGACGACAACCGGCTTCTGCGAGCTGCCTTTCAACGACGCCCACGTGACACTTTGGGACAACATAACACCTCAAGACGACGACGTCAAACTCGGCCAACCACCTCCAATCAGCACAACCACAGTAAGGTCCCGGACGGGGCCGGCGGTCCGCCACAGACACTCCAGGAGTGGTGGCGGTGCGCCAGGGACACCACAGGAGCGGTGGCGGTTCGCCTGGGACACCAAGGAGCGGTGGCGGTCCGCCAGGGACACCACAGGAGCGGTGGCGGTCCGCCTGGGACACAACAGGAGCGGTGGCGGTCCGCCTGGGACACAACAGGAGTGGTGGCGGTCCGCCAGGGACACAACAGGAGTGGTGGCGGTCCGCCGGGATCCTCAGCGGCCCAGGGCGGCGCGCTGCCGCCTCCAGCTCAGCCAGGTCACGCCTCACGCAGGCTCCCAATGGTCAGCCGGACGCGATTGTGCGGAGACCGGGCCGGGACGTCCGCCGATTACTGGGGCCCGCTGACTCACTGCCGCCGGAATCTGACCGACACCGGGACAACGTGCAAACAGTGATTGGACGAGTCTCCTCGAAACATACGGCGTTTTGTTAAAGGTATTGCCTCTCCGAGCGCTGAAGCAGAGACGAGTACATCACTACCGAAGAAAAATAACTCATCACAGAGGCCTTTGCGCCTCGGCTCTCTCCCAACACACCCTCACGGGTAGTTCGGCCCGAGACCATGCCCCGCACGCCCCGGCCGGCCGGCTGAGCCGCAGATGCACGCACCCTTCGTAAAGCGGCTTGCATCGGTCGACGCGCCGGCACGGCCAGCGGGACCTCCGGCCTTGCCGCGCAGCTCCAGCGCCACACAGCGCGGCGCTGCGTGCTCTGTCGGTTTCCGACCGACCCAGTTTCCGTGTCCAACCGGACTACGCTCGACCTGGGAGCCGGCGCGCCGCGGGGCGCTGGCGGTCGCGTCGCCCCGCACCGGACGACGGGCGGCGCGCATTTCCGACAGGAGGCGGCGCGGCGGCGCGCACGAGGCGCGCACCGAGGCCGCCGACACCGGCGACCAAATTAAACGTCCGCTGACGTCACAGATAGCTGGGATAGCGGCGCACCGGCCGTCCGGACCGGCCGTTCCGGTGGCCGACACGGCCGGGGCGGCGCCGCCAGTGTCCGACGGCCGCGTCACCGGCCGGCGAGCCGGCGGGGCCGGCGCGTCATGCGGCCTCGAGTCGAGCGTGACCCCGGGCGCCGCCCGTCCCCGGCGCTCCGTGTCGTGACGGGTCCCCGGCTCGACATGACGACGCGGCGGAGTCACTTCCGGCGGAAGCGCACGTCAGGCAGAGGACGGGGCGGCGGCAGGGCGGCGGCGGCGGCCGGGCGTGCGCCGAGCGAGCGGGCCGGCACCGAGACGCCGCGGCGGCGGCAGCCCATGCCGCGCCGCTGGACGGCCGCCAGAGACAAGGGAGGCACCCCGCCCCGCCCCACCCCGGCCCGCTCACTCACACGGCGCCGAGTCAGCCGACGACGGCGGCCGACCGCGCCATCCGTCAGCGGCGCGTCACAATCGTATCTGGCCTCCTTTGTGGTCCGCATGATGGGCCGCCGGCGTCGGGGCGGCCGCCGGTCGGCTCCGTGTCCCCCCTCCCCGCCATCGGTGGGTTGGCCCGGCGGCGGGGGCGGGACCAGCGTCGGCCGCAGCAGTCCGGCCGGCCCGGCCGCCGCCACTCCGGCGGCGTTGAGCGCGGGCCGGTGCCGCCCAGCTCGGCCCCCCGTCACACCCGATCTGCTGGAGCCCGTCGGCAGCATGCGCCGCCGCCGACCGGCCGTCACAACACGGCCGATCTCCGCCGGCGCGGCCGTGACCGCATGACCCGACGCCGCGCGCCAGGGGAGGGCGAGGGGAGGCCCGAGGCGGGGCCGCCACATGGCCGTCTCGGCACCGACACAGGTCCGGACGACGCTCCCGTCCAGCGGCCGCCTCTGGGCGGCGACGAACCGGGCGCTAACGGCGGGGCGGCGTCGAGCATGCCGCCCCGAGCCGGTCAGACCATCATCTGTCACCATCACATCAGATCTCAAGTGGGTCACGACCAGGCCGGTGCCGCATTCTCCGCGCATCAAGCGCCGCGGCCGGTTCCCGCAGCCGCGCTGACCGCCACCAGTCGGCGCAGCACGCGATGGGCGACGCGAGGTAATGCGTGAGGCAGAGCCGAACCTGAACTCCTCGCCACTCACCAGGCGACACATCAGCCGGCGACGGTGTGATGATTCGGTGCTTTAGGGCGCGTCAGGCATCGGGGCGATATTGCACCCACTCGATGGCGATTATCTGCATCTGTAATGCCACACTATAAGTGCGCTGTCAACTAGTAACAGGCGGCATCAGGGGATCGGCCGCAGCAGGGAGCAGCGTCGGCACTCCAGCAGGGCCCGCCCAGACCGGGGGGCGCCACGGCGCCGGCCGTCACTCACCAGGTACCACATCTGTGGCCAGTGCGGGTCATTGAGGTACGTTGAGCGGTATCGGGGCGCCCGCTCGGGCCGTAGCAGGTCCCTCTTCGTTCGCCGCCGCACCCTCTGCTGCTCCACAAACGTCACCTGCGGCAGAGGCGGCGGCGTCAGAGGTGCTGCTCTGCTGCTCGACAAACGTCACTTACAGCTGTGGCGGCGGCGTCAGAGGCGGCGGGGTCAGAATCAGGGGCAGCGGTATCAGAGGCGGCGGCGTCAGGGTCAGAGGCAGCGGGGTCAGAGGCGGCGGTGTCAGAGGTGGTGGTGTCAGAGGTGGTGGTGTCAGAGGTGGCGGCGTCAGAGGCGGCGGCGTCAGAGGCGTCGGCGTCAGCCCCCGGCTCAGCTGCACCTCTCACGCGGCGGCAGGTGTGGCGGTCCGCCGCCGCCGGCTGCAGGCCCGCCGGCCTCGCCAACGGCAGCACATCACAAGACTCCGCATCAGAGGAGTGTCGGCCGCAGCGTCCAGTCACGCGACGGGCCGCCGGCGCGGCACGGCCGCGGGCCGGGCGGCCATCGTCGACGCCGACGCTCTGGAGCGCCGCCGCGCGGGGTATTCACGTACATGTTGGACACGGAACACATGAGCAGGGATACGTTAATATGACACACGAATCAAAGTACGCCGACGCGACGATAATTGGCGCAGACGTTAGGGAAGGGCTTACAGTTCGACTATTGTCCTGGTGCGGTGCGTTAGTGTGTACACAACGTTTCGGCCAGTTAACTCTCTGGTCGTCCAGAACTCAATAACACTCGCTGACGGCCACAGAGCTGACTAGCTCAAACGCTGTGCACATACTGATACACCAGACAAGGATGGCAGTCCGAAGGCCTCGTCTCCACCATTCTGTGGTGTCACTGACAACGGTGTACGCGACGGCGAACGTGTGCTCGCGTCCGCGCAACGCAATGTTTTTAACGCCGCAGCTTTAGGAGCTGCACACAGAGACGATGCATAGATTGCTAGCAACATTCGCCAGGAACATTATTCGCTTAGATCAGATAGCAGTCCTAGCCTAAGTCCTCGGAAAAAAACGGGAGAATGGAGATATATAAGCGTTGATATTTCGGCAACATACCTTTCTCAAAGCAATAGCAGAGGTGAATTGTCAGCAGGTATGCTATAGCGTTAGAGAAATGTCGACTTAGACACTATAGCGTTGAAGTCGACATTGCTCTTATTCTATATTAATGTGGCGATTATGTGAGCTGAGGCATAAGCCACTTTATGTTGACTATACCGATCCATTTGATATATTTAAATCGATACGTCATCATTTAAGCTGAGAGATAAAAAACATGTTCAGTACTGACCTGGCTGCCAAGTCAAAGCAGCAGTACGTATCAAGTGATTTTGGCAGTCATTGGTTCCACTTTGGTGCTCGACTCAACACTTCAGCCAACAGTTTGCTGTCTGTTATTGTTCACAAAGCATGATACCACGCCCTTAAGAAGCCTACTCCCTTTTCAGCCATTAATCCGGCAGCGCAACTCTAAGTTTCGAACTGATGGAATGACGCAACTGAGCCGGTAGTTTTCAGAGCCGTCCACAAAGCAGCCTCAGCGCCGCCGGCATCAGCAGACTGCCCACCTCCAGCAGCGCCCACGGCGAGGGCAGCTGGCCGTGGGCGCCGCCACGGCACCGTGACGCCGGCCTCCGGTCGGCGGGCCCGGCGGCCCGGCCGTGACGGCCGGCACCGAGGCGCGCCAGCCAGCCCCCGCTCGCTCAAGGCTCCGTCACCACCCGCCAGCGGTCTCGCAGCGGCACCTGACAGACGGAGCGTCGCGGGCGGTGCCACGGAGCGCGGGGGCGGCCGGCTGACCGGGCCACGTGCCGCAGCGCGCCGCCGCCGCGATAGAGCGCCACGTTCGGTGCCGACCCTCCGATCCATCTGCAGGCTGCAGCCGCTGATAACGCTCAATGAAGACGCCAAACGACCCGACGGCCGGCGACACCGTGCCCCGAACGGACGCCGTGTAATGAGAAAACGGCGCTGCTCACATCAAGGCGTCGTAAAGACGGTCCCCAGCGTCCGAGCACGACGTAAAACCCGACGAGCGGAGAGGTATTTTCGAAAAGTCTTGCGTGTAAACGACCCCGCCAAAGGGTGATGCAGGCGAGAACAAGTTCGCTGCGTCGCCGTCTACATCGCTCGGCGCCTTTATGAAAAAATGCCTCACGGTTCGCGCTCACAAACCGCGCCCGAGAGCGCGCTGTTGACCAGCTCAGTTCACCACAAAACCGTCTTTGCGCGGCGCCGGGTTCACAGCGTACCCGTCCGAAGGCGGCCGACGCTCCGGCTGTGTCGCGTCGGCGAGTACAAGACGTGCGTCGAGAGCCTCCCGGCGGGCGCCTCGGAACGTGTGACGTCACGGGACCAGCAGGCGGACGGGCGCGATAAACGGCCGGCGGCGTTCGCGTCAACAGTGGGCCTCTATAGCCGGCGGGCGCGGCCGGCGCACCAGCGGTAACCACCGTCGGCGCCGCCGCCGCCGCCGCCGCCGCCACAGCACAAAGACGGGGCTGGGCCGGCCGGCTCGGCAGTCGGCAGCGAGGGTAAGCCGGGCGCGGCGGAGACGAACGAGCTGGAGCAGGGATCAGACGGAAGGAGAGGAAGATCACGACACATGCCCGAGAGCGCCGGTGATCACAGAACAGGACGGAGAGGACCGCGAACGAGAACCGGCTGAACCGAAGCGACGTCAGCCCTTTGCTGGCGCAAACAGCTGCGATGCGCGATGTCAGCTTTTTGCTGACGCAGGACGTCAGGCATGACGCCTTCACGAACCAACGCATTACATAACAGCGAAACTGCACCAGAATAGCATCTGAAACTTTGACAGAGCCATGCATGAAGCCGGTGTCATCGACGACAGATCAGCCGGAACACCATGGCAACGTGGGAGGCCGTCCACAAGCGCTCCGGCTCCAGAGCGGCTGTCCGGCCCGCTTCCGGGCGCCAATCCGCAGAAATGCATCGCCGTATCAGGCCAGAAATACCACAAATAGCCGGACAGCTGGGCTCACCCGCCCGAAACGGACCCGAATAGCGGCGGCGGCGGCAGCCGAGCTGGCGGCGGTGTCCATCACGCCGAGCGAACGGCTTATTTTAGCGACCGGCCAGTATATTTGGACGGACGAACTCGGTGCGACCCGCCAATCACCGGCGCCGGCGTCCGAGGTCTAATGGGATCGCGCCGCTGACAGGCCGTCACTGGGTGTCGGCACTCGGGCGCCCGCCCGCCGGCACCGACGCGCCCGTCCGGCGGAGGGGTCGGAGAGGCCGGGGGCGGGGTCGGGTCGGAGAGGGGCGCGGGGGCATCGAAGCTGGCTGGCTGCTGATGGAGAGGGCCACAGTGAGGGACACGGACGTCGTGACGGAGACGAGGCGGGCGGGCACAGGAACGGAGACAGACGGTCGCGGGGAAGGAGGCGGACAGTCGCTGGAACGGAAACGGACGGTCGCTGGGACGATCGCAGACGGTCACTGGAACCGAGACGGACGGTCACTGGAAGGGCGGTGACTGGAGCGGAGGCCGTCAGAAGTCACTGGAACGACCGATCGCCGTGGCGGGAAGTGAACGACACGGAACCGACCGCCGTGACAGAGACGAAGACGCAGCCCGGCTTACCAGGCATCCGCTTGTTTAAGCTGGCCTTTCCTACTCCTATGGCGACACGCTTTCCTCGTATACAACAGGTCACGACGTGGGAGAAAACCGCGTCTGAATCGTTGCAACAGCTGTGTCGATATTTACGACGGAGTTATCAAGATCGACTCTGACACGGCGCCGGCTGGCCCAGCTGCGCGCTCACGCCGCGCCATCTAAGCGATTCGCAAAATCGCTTCTGCGAAAGCACATCAAGTCGCTGCACCTGACTACGCCAGTAATATATGAGGGTGTAATGCAAGCCACGACGAGCGCATTGCTGCGGCTGCGCGAATCGTGCCACCAGGCCAGCCTTCTCAACGGGCTCACAAACGACACAGTCAACTGAAACAAAGGTACTCTAGACACCGCACCTAACCGCACATTAAGTTGCACCCTTGGTGACGGAGCGGAGTCGCGCCTCAGCTCTCAGACAGCTGTTCACCAGCTGGTGCACAGCTGTACTTCGGCTAGGCGTCAGCACTTCGGCCCAGCTATAACGGCTGTAGCTATGACCTTCGACATCCGGCGACAGACAGGACGAAAAACCGCCGTGTGTGGCTGTAGCCGGAGAATTCACTTACCAGAGGTTCACTTGCGAGCTTGGAATGATGAACATGACTAGACGTTAACGATCGTTTACTAACTTCGTGGTGACGTAATAGGAAACAGTCTCCCACAATCTGAAACAGAGAAAAACACATGTTATGATAGCCATATCAGCTCAACATAACCTCATCAGACAGAATACCGTGCACATACAACACAGACGAGCGCCGCTGGAGCGTCGCTGTAATTGGGAACAACACGAACTGTCCACTGGTCTTTCAGACTGAGAACACGCCACTATAGCCAACGAACGTCCGGCTCGAGGGACGTGACACCGGACGGCGTGCTCCGTGAGGCTGATCCGTCCCGCAGACCGCGGGCGCAGCCACGCCAACAGGCCCACCCCGTCCCAGCTGAAGACGGCACACGGGGCATCGCCCGATCAGCATTGCCCGACCTGCATTCATAGCCGAACACAATGCATGGGGCATTCAATACTGCCCGACCTGCATCCACTCATCGCCAGTCCGGCACAGCGCCGATCGAACTGACGCACACAGGCGCTGAGCATCAATCTACGTGTAAGAAACTGGCGTCCGAGGCCTGTCCAAACATCATTAAGCCCCAACTAAGCCTTCAGCTCACTTGCATCCTGGACCCAACAGCGGCCATAACGCCACACCGCAGACCTGGGCGTCCCCGCAGGTCGGCCGCCACAAGCGGGGCTCAAAATCTGCCCCGTGCCAGCCCAGCCAGCCGGCCAGCCGCGGCAGCCGCAGCGCGCCGCGGTCCCACGCGCCGCCGCACGGCTGCCGCGATTGCCGGCGATACCGGCCCAATCAGCAGGCCGGCGCACGCGCGGGGCGCGTGCCAGCACACCGGCCGGGCGC